CTTTCCCAATGGATCCCACTTCCATTAAAGATATCAGAAATGGGCAAAATTTCAGAATGATGTCCACCAGCTTTTGAGTGCCCTAAATGGAGTGCCCCCTAAATATGAAAGAATTCTCCATTTAGAAGAACCAGGGATATAATTTTGAGGCAAGAGCAAATGAAAAAAAGTGAAAATCTGGTTTGGAAGCATTCACTCTTCTTTGCTTGTGTCATAAAAGAAGAAATCGTCCAGGCAACATGCCACTAATGGTATTTTAAAAGTTAGATGTGAACTGGTCCCCACAAAACAGATTTTTGAGAACTTGCCCAGACTTCTATTCGGTACCTCCATTTGAAGTTCCATTTGCCACATTGCAGCGGGAAGCCCTCCATGAGTATTTGGACAGAGAGGACCCTGCAAACAGTTGACCTGCTAGCCATACAGCAATTCCAGTGGTTTACTTGAGCATACTAAAGAGTCAGTACACAGTGGTAGTCAATAAGAAGAAGGGGTTTTATTTGGCTATTATATGCATTACAATCTAAATATAATGTATATAACATAATGTGTGTGTGTGTGTGTGTATATATATATATATATACATACATACACATATACACACATACATACATACATATATACATACTGTTAATTTGTTGGTTAATTTTATGTGTCAGTTTGACTGGGCCTTAAGTCAGATGCCAGGCTTTGAAGTTTTTGCTGTGCCATTATTTGGCGAATCTCTGTATCTGCCCTTGCATCGCAGTCTAGGAATTTCCCATTTAGACCCACCTGGGGTTTTTTGATGGGCTGTTAGACATATGTTCAGGGCCAAATGGCCACACAAGGTGAAGAGTTGTCAATACTACTTATTAGAGGAGAGTTTGGAGGGGATGGGAGATTGGGACCGTGTTCACAGAAAATACAATTAAGCAGGGCTATTACAACTGCCTCCCAGCGGGTCTCCTTAATATTAATACCAATCTCTTCTCATTGCAGCCCAATCACTGCAACATTGCTGCAGTGAGCTTTCTAAAAAGCAAATCTAATCTTAAGGGTCCTTCGACCTTGCTAGCCAGATGCAATTCCAGACGAAATTCAAAGCTCTTCACAGTATGGCCCCATCCCCATCACTCCGTTCTCACCTAGCCCTGCTCAGTGTACTCCCTAGTTTTCTATGACCTCCCAAGTGTCCACAGTGGGGGTTTCCATACAAGGAGTCTCTGAAACCCTTCCTAGGAGTCCAGAGACCTCCCGTTACAGATGGCTTCCACAGACTGTGACATTGATCAGTACATGGCAGAGCGCCTGACAATGGCTTGTTTTTGGTGAAGTCCTCAAAATGAAAAACACTATCTTTAGGTTATAAAGTGGCATTACATTTGGAGCGGATGTCTAGCATAGTAAAGCATCTTTAGACCTAAAGATATTCCTTTAGCAACAATTTTGAAAAAATAGAGGTCAAGTTTGAGTCTATTCATACAAGGACATGTTCGTTACCTATGAATTTAATTTTAATTTGGGAGGGTGAAGTGTAATTCAATTCAAATAAAAAAAAAATTTTAAATACCTTTAAAATATCTTCCCCCTTCACTTTATTTGAGAAGATGGATGGATTGAATATGTAATTGAAAGAAGGGGTTACTGGCTCACAGCTAGGAAAAGGCCTATACTTTCTGAGTCAGTTGCTTGGCAACAGAAAGCAGGACTCCAGAGGCTTCCCAGGCAACCCAAACCTTCCTACTGAAGCCTAACGCAGGCTGTGTGTCCAGATGCCTCCCTCTCATTTCTGCAGGCCCATGCCGCTTCCTTTAGGTCTTTCCTACAGTGTTACCTCCTAAGAGAAGCCTCCCTAGGCCACCTATATAAATTGCACTTCTTCCCCCAACTTCTGGCACTTTCTATCGCTCTTCTCATAATAAAAAATACTATACATTTTTCTTCACTTCCTGTTTTCCCCTCTAGAATGTAAGTTCCACGTGGGCAGGGATTTTGGTCTTTTTTGATCACTGCTGTCCAGCGTCCACCACGTAGCAGGCATTCAATAAATACGACTGAGTAAAAACCTATTTACTCTTCCTAGAGCTGAATCCATCTCAGTGGAGCCTTTTCTAATTTTCCCCATGTATGTCTCTGCAGCACTCTGCCCTCCACAAAATTAACCTCATTGTTGATCTGACATTAAAGCTCACATCTTTCCTCTGGGATTTATTACTTTCAAAGTGTTTAGAGACGATAAGTATTTTGATAAAGATTCTGCACATGTATCCTAAAACTCAGTTACACATATATAAATTAAGAAAGATTTCACTGACAGCAGAAAATGTGGAAAAGACAGGACTTTAGCAAACTATCAGTTCAATGATTCGATAATGAGATCAGGATCTCAAATAAGTAACCACCCACCCACCTTCCCAACCCACCACCGAGTTTAGTTTTAGGCTGCATTAACAATGAATCAGGTTCCTCTGTGTTGACGGGGTCAAATCACAAATGGAGCGTTGTGATCAGTCCTGGCTTCACATTCAGGCATGTTCAGGAGAGGAGGCTGGAAACTACTATTTGAAAGAACTGGGAATATTTAGCTTGGGAAAGAGAACACTAGGGGACAAAACAGATGTCTTCAAATATTTAAAGTGCTGTCATATTGGTGAGAAATTTTCTTCTGCGTGGTCTTAAGGAAAGTTGGAAATTACAAGGAATTGCACTCAATTGTGGTCCAGTCTCTGAGGGTTCTGATGCAGCCTGGGTTTGGCGGGGATGCTGTGGAAGCGGCAGAGCTCGATGTGTAATTGCCGCCCTCTTGGCTGAACGGGTGGCTCCTGCTGTCCATTCTGCATTCGTCCCTGCTGTCCCCAGCCCTGCTTTATGTGGTGCTTGTTGCCACACAGCATCTTAGTTGTGCTCTTTGCTTACAGTGCCGGTGATTTTCATTATGCTTAAAAAACTGTTATTAGGTATTCCAATTCATTTGTTGAATTTCTATGCTGCTCGCAGTTGCAGGAAACGTGTGTGTGTGTGTGTGTGTGTGTGTGTGTGTGTGTGTGTATGCCTGGCATAGACAGAGATGAGTGTGTATCATGCACCCTCCTCACTTCCTTTCATTCTGGACCATAGTCAGATCCTTCTATCATCTTGGACACATACTTATGGCACATGGATGATTGTGGCCGATACAAAACACAAAGTCAAGTATAATGCTGGAGAAACGGGATCCAGCCTAACAGAGGAAGACTCAAGACAAGTAAATCTGGTGCTGCAAAGGGCATTTCCCCAAATCCATGCCATTCTTGCAGGAAAGACTGTAGGGTCTCTCTACAAGGGGGAAGCCCACCTCTCAAATACATATTTTCCATGTCTTTAGTCTCTCTTCCCTTCCTCCTGTCCCAATCTTTTGCCCCCAGCACACAGATTTATTGACTACTCATCAGGAGACCCACAGCAGTTTCCACCAGCCACTTAAGGGTGTGGATGGCTCTCAAATGCTTGGAGTTCTTTGATTCTTCTGCCCCCACCATATAAACAGCAAGTCCTTTTGCTACTGTCTACTTAGGATGTCTACAACCTGTTTTGTTCTCTTCTTCTCCTTGCACAAAGTAGGTGCTCAATAAAAATTTGTTATTATATAAACCCCAACAGCTACTTTCTTGGTTCAGGTCACCATCTCTGGCCTGGACTCCTGCAGTCTTTTTAAGTGGCCTTTCTTGCCTCTACTCTCTCTCTCTCTCTTTTAATCTTACAGGTACATTTATTCATGACACAAGGGAAATGGCCCTTCTACAGCATACAGCAATGTTCCACGTTCCCATCTAACAGAGCTTGCTGAAATTTACAGCCAGGCTGACATTCCACCTGATGTCACTCCAGGTAAAGCTGGTTAATGATGACCATGAGCAGGTGCAGGACTTGAAGCTCTCAAAGCTTTACTTGTATCAGCACCCCTGATTTTTGTAAATGGTGAAGCCCATCAACCCCATCCCTACCCAGATCTCCTGGCAAACCTGGGTGTCATAGGGCTTCATGGGGATGCAAACATGTTTGATGAGGCTTTGAAGCATCTCACTGCACAATGAATGACTTAGGAGGGTTTCCTGCCTTTAGTCTTGCTCCTCTTTCAGCCATTTCTCCACAATGCCAGCCAGAAGGATCTTCTTAATAGGCTAACTTGAACATTTCACTTCCATGCTAAAACTCATCCATGGCACTCAGGATAAAGTCCAAAGTCCTTCTCATGGCAACCAAGACCCTTCATGACCTATCCACTTTTTCTCTCAGTCGTCCCCAACCCTTTACTGTCTGGTCACAGCCTGAGAGGCTCTTCATCTTCCCATCTTTGTGCCAGACAGCCTTCTGCGGTTAAAGTGCCTTCTCCAGGGCTTGCCAACACCTGGGGAAAAGCCCTCCTGGTGTGTCTCCATGGACTCTGTTCTTGTTCCTTTAATGGCACTTGTTAGACTGTAACCTCCTTGAGGTGAAAAGCCCATCACATTAGTTTCAGTCTGGCCAACGGCAGGCTCACTAAATGTCTGCAGAGCATGAACGAGTTCAGCGGGTTTATGCCCATTTCATGGGGCTTCATGGGTCTTTCTTAAGGGAGGCAGCACAAATATGTGGAGTGGGCAGCAGAGGAAGAGTCAAGTAAACAGCAGTTTTGATTTCTTGCTCTGCCATTAACAAAACATATGACTTTAGAGGAGGGCAGGATGGATAATGAAAATGCTAAAAGTCCCCTCAACTAGGACACAGAATAACATTTTAAATTTCTTTTTATTTTTGCTTTTGTAACATACTATTATCATATGTATAATTTCTTGATCAAGGTCCACTTATTCAGTTTCACTTGGATGAAGCAGCTACCTTTTCAGTAATAGATAATGCTTTAGTTATAATAATTAACATTACTTTTAGAAAAATGTAGTCTTGTGTTATTGATGTGCAACCTATAGTCTTTGGCAGCTTTTAAAGTAAATAAGATTATATTTAAAAATATGAAATACATAAGAAACAAACCAGCAATGTAATGCCCCAATTAATCCTGAAAATTTATTATTTGGGAGAATATCAGATATTGATCTTTGTTTTACAGCTCATGATAATAATCAGAAAATATACATTTTGAAGTGAAAGTCAAAAGAAAATAATAATTACATATAATACAGATTACAGATATTTGTACATAAGCAAAGCAGTACTAAAAGCATATTTCTGTGTCCACAATTAGTGAACGTGGCAATTTTCTGTTTAAAGCTGCAGCAACTCAAATCCTCCTTGGGTCAATAAAGAGAGACAGATTGAGAAATATATTTAGGGCTATCACCATGTCTGGCTTTAAACCTATTTTTTAATCTTTCCCTTCCCCCCATATATATGCATATACTTTATTGCCTTTATATTTCTGCTGGTTTAATATAATTAGTATACTAAATAGTTATCTGCATTTATTTGGTTTCTAAAAATATATAAAATGCATTGGAATAGAGCTCCTGCAGCTTTCAAGCAGTCACTGTCCTGGCATTGAAAGCTTATTATGGAAATGTAAAGCAGCAATACTGAATAAATAGTGATTGTTTTGTCTTCTCCATACAGCTGATGGCCTTCACCCAGAACTTAAAAATACTGTAGCAAATAGTATAAACATGCAATTAAAAAAATGGACATAATATAAAAGTAATACTTATGAGCTAAATTTTATACAATACAGACTAAATAAAGACAACTTTAGAAGGTGGAAGAGGGATGTGAACACAGCATTGTTATTTACATATAAATTAAGGCCCAATTTTCAAAGGCAATGCACATAGGGAACTGTCCACGCCCTCTGCACACCTGAAATCAAGAGTTTTTGCCTTTTCCATATTATTTCCTCAATCCATTATTATAGTTCTAATTTGGAAATATGTTCATAGAAATGGTTTTAATGAATTTCTTTTCTCAAAGGACTGTTTTGCTCTTATCCACAAAGAAAATTTTCTTTTAATACAGGTAAAAATTTTATTTATTCTCTGGAAGCAGGTGCTTATTTGCTCTTCTTCACTGTTAAAATTCGCACTTCACACCATAAATTCTGTATTTTTTATAGCATCAATCTTATTTTAGCTTGAGTTTATGATGAATTTGAACTATGGGAATTAATGACTAGTTTAGTGATAACTGTGGGAATTAAATGGTTAACTCCTATTAATACCAGCCGAAGTCTCACATATAAATTCCCTGTGCATCAAGACAAAAAACAAATGCTAACAAACCAAAATGTCTCATAAGAACAACAAAAGGACTGAGGCAACCCATTACAGATCATTCTCTGAGGTGACAGATACTCAAAGGTTCAAATATAGTAATGCTATTTCAGATTATCACTTGGTTAAAAAAAATAATCTTTTAATGTATTTAATACTTGTAGAAAATCACAATAAAACAACTTGCAGTATTATATATATATAAACCTTGTCATCCAATTCAGTATTTAGAACCTGAATATTTTCCCAGATGCAAAATTTTATATTTGGTATTTTTGTATACCATTGTCACCACCCGCCCCACCGCCCCAAAAGGTATCCAAAGATGTGGCACTTAATCTAACTCATTTGTATTCACAATGGATAAAAATGACTAAAACATTTTTAAGATGTTCTAGAGAAATGAGTTTTCTTCACCCTATTTTATAAAAAGCCTTAGAAAACATTTCTTAGAGGTGTGCTTCCAGAAGTAATATAACTGATTAAAAAGTACAGCTGTTCAATGTATTCATCAAATTCACACTTATATACTCTTCTTATCTAGGAAATGGTATTTCTATCTGTAATTAGGTCCGTAAAGATTATTTGGCAGCTTGAACATTTGGATAAAGTTGTCAGAGAAGTTACTATCTATGATACTGGGCCGGGGGAACCCAACACTGCTACGAGTTGGAAGGATGCTGCCAGTCTCTCTTTAGAGTTATTAGGTTAATGCTAAGAGTAATTTACAACGATTAATTTGGATATTGACTTACATTTCTCATGGCATGCCAAGGCATCTTCGCAATTTATAGTTGCAAAGTTTAATATAGCTTTAGTTTAACATTTTGATTCAAATAGAAGGTGATCATTTTACAAAAAGTGTTTTTCTTTGTGAATAAGATCACAATTTCTCTGAACAACAATAAAAAAATGACTCTTAGTATAGGATGGAACCCTTTAAAAATAAGGCATATATCAGGCATACATAAATCATTATCATAAAATCTACAAATTATTTTGAGTTTTTAAAATTCTAATTTTTAATTACACGTAGATATGAAATGACTATTATAAATTGAGAGCAAATGTGTACAGGTTGCGGTTATTTAGGTAAGAATCATTTATTTCTCAAGTTATTTGTAAAATAGTATAATGGCAAGGTCAACTCAATAACTCCAAGAACCCAAAGAAAATAATATCTTTAGTTGAGATCTGCCATTTAGCTGGACTAGAAAAGGCAACTCTGCATTATTACTTTCAGTCCTCTAGAAGCTTCTATGTATTTTCATAGCCATTCTTAAAATTTTTCATTGGAGACCTAAATATAGCAGCATTATTAGCATTCTTTAGACCAAAAATAAGTCAAATGTTTTAAAACATTCAAAGTTGCCCTCATGCATAAGATATAACTTACATCTTTTTATTGTTACCATTGCATGAATATACTAATCCACTGTTACTTTGTTGCATGTAAATAATACAGAGAATGTATTCTCCTCAGAATTAAAAACTTTAAATTTCAGATTAAGGTCTTAATTATGTTGTACCAAATTTTGATCAGAGGGAACGTAAAAATGACTAAGAAGTATCTGATCACTCTGTCCAGATATTACCTGTGAATCTTAGTTAGATCAGTACTCATGGGAGGGGTGCTGACTCATTTTTGGTTTTATAAAGAAGAAAATACATGTACAAATGGAGATTAATGTCCTGTAAAAGTCAAGCTCAAAAATGAAAACAAACACCGAGTTTAACTTTATTTCCTTGGTAAAAAGTACCTAACTCCAATCCACTTTCTCTCTACCTAAGTGATTGGAGAAACTGCAATAGTTCATAACGTACAGAGTAACTTATGTGCAAGCAATACCTTACTCAGGTACCTCACACCAAAAGACCATACCTACGAAGTGGGTTATTTAAAAAATATGCCACTTAAAGCGACCTTCCTGAAGTAGACTGCCCTGATCCTCAGGTATCTTTAACTTATGTATTATGGCAACTCTGAGGATCCATGAGAGTAACATGATAAGGCAGGGCGGAAACACAACACATCATGTGTCAGGAAACCCCATGCCTGTTTGGAGAGATATAGTCAACAATCACATCTTTGTTCAGCAGTGTCTGAGGGACTGCAAACCTTTTAACATACAATTTACCTCATGAAAATATTTCTGTTCTGATATGTGGTCATTCATATACTGGGAATATTGTAAAGAAAAGATTAAACTCCAGATTAATTAGAAAACCTGAATTACTTCACCTAATTAAGCAATGGCTATGTATGATGGGGTCACAAAATAAATGCAAGTGGGTTCTTGTGGAGTTAGTTTTGATGGTGAAGCACCCTATGTTGCATGTGTAGCTATAAATCAGTAATATATGGGTGGAGTCTGGCAACGTGCGCACAAAGTTATAATCACACAATACACAATGTAATTCAGTCACAGGATAAGTAGTAATAAAAATATTAAAACATCAGCATTCACACATTAACTGATTACATGGAATAAATTAAACTAAGCCAGTCACATATTCCTCTTCACTCTTAAGTCACGATTTTATTTATGTAGACACACAGTATAATACTTTCCTAATGCTCTCAAAATGCTACAAATAAAAATGAAGGCTTTGCATTACAGCTGCTAGATAAAAACGTCAACACTGTTGATGTGTGAAAACACAGTTTCTTTGTTCTTTAGCATCAGTGCACAGGGTATGGCTCCAAGTGGTATGCAATTTAGGACAGAAAAAAAGATACAGTGGCTTGTGAAATATATCCTCTGTTCATCATTGGCACAAATCAAAGAAAAGATTTTCACTGTTGTTGGTACCTTTATTGGTCTCTCCCCTAAAGACACAGAACGTTATACATATATGCCTTCAGGGTTAAAACCAGATGAGATAGGATTCTGTAGAATACGAAGATTACTGGGGAGCTGCCGAGATGAGCCAGGCCGCTTCAGGGACCCCGACTGGAAAGGTGCCTCTAAATAGGAAACCAAGAAAAGTCATTGGATGTACTCCACTTGATGTACTTAGCAATATGAAAAACAGTAAGTTTCTCTGCCTTAAAGAATCAAAGAACATGTAACAATCACAATCCCCTGTGGTCCTGGGGCGAGGGGAGAAAGCTTACTCTGCTTGACTCTCTCTCTGAGTCATTAAACCAAGTTTTCAGTGATTTGCATGTTAATGATCTTTTTATGAAGGTGAGCATTTTGCTTCTTTTTCTTGGTTGTTCAGACTATATGCATATACAGATCTAGAAGTGTCTTTTACATATTAGCAGAAATTAATTTTAGGAGAAGAAGGGGCATGAGGAACAGGGAGAAGCTAGAACTCAAATAGAGTATGACTCATACAGACTTCAGGAAAATGATATACAATTTGGTGATTTCATGCTCATTTAAGTAAAGAAAAAAACCTAAATATTATTGATTTTCCCCAGAAATAGTAAGTACATCAAAAATATTTTTATAGTGGCCCAAGAATTAGCTTTGGATGGTAGGATAATAGTTTTACTGAATGCAAGACGTTTATTCCAAGTTAACTAGTGAGAATAAAGTAAAAACAAAGAAACAAAAAACAAAAGCAGATTTCTCAACATCTTACCCCTTTCTATGTCTGCATGTGAGGCCTCCACTTCAGTGGGCTCTGCTGGCAGAACGGTAACTTTTGTCCCTGTCTGCTGGATAAACTGCTGGAGGTTGACTTGCCGCAGCTCTTTAGTCAACTGCTCCAGCTCTTGTTCTTTGTCCTAGATCGAAGTTAAAATTATTTTTTTTTAATTTGAGGATTCAATATTGGCCAGTTAAAAGACAAGAAGATACCCTGGAGACAGTCCATCTGCTACCGGGTCTGAATATGGGATACTTGCTTTCACAAGAGTACATTTAACAAATCTGGCTTCTATCGATACAAGGGGCTGAGGATGTCACTTTCTCTCCATGGCACGGACCAAACAATAAGCAAATAAAGGATGACAGCTGCCTCAGTCTGGCCTCTTACATATGATGCTTTCCTCTGTTAGCAATACACTATGCACCTGATGAAATCAATATATGCCTATGAACTTTCATCAATAAAATACTGGTTTCCATCCCAGCCCATGTTCACAGTGCTCGTGCTAAGTGGGTCACAATTCAATTTCCCTAGTGTCCACTTCAAAGTTGACTGTAAAATGAATAGTCATTTGGTCCATGAGAGTCAGAGTTCGTGTTTTTTTGTAAACTGTTTATGTTCTCATGAGATCCGTTACTGAGATTTACATTATAGAACAAGGAAAGCAAGATTCCCACAAGATTTTCACTATGAGGTTTTTAAATCCTTGACGAAGACAGTTCTGAGAACTGGAGAGCCCTAAAGAGAGGAGATTAACTTTGGACAGCTAGAAAGGTCCAAAATCAAGGAGAGGCAGGCAGTCTACGGTTTAAAGGACTTTCTCCTCTTTCTCTCCTTTCCTGCACCATAAGGACAAGTGGCAAGGCCCCACCCAGGCTGGGTGTGTCTGAAGGATTTGGTAGGGGCAGGGGAGAGGCTGTAGGAAAGAGTGGTTGTTTCATTCACTTTGAGGGGCGGGGGGGGTACTTGGAGATATATTACTAGTTTGACTATTAGATACCTTTCAACAGATAGTGGGATTTACTCATACTGATTATCATAAATTAGTGTTTCCTATAATATCAAAGGCAACACAATTTCCAATTGTACCCTTAAGTGTCAAAATGAATCCAAACAGTAAAATACTAACAAATCACAGGTTAACAACCTTTTACTGCATGAGAAATTCCTGATTTTCAAACTCTGGGAGGCAGTTTTACCTTTCATTACAGTTAATGACAGAGAAATCACATAGGTTCTTCCTAAAACCTCAGCTTTCTGTTTCACAACTGTTCATATTCTAAAGCAGCTCTTCTCAAACTTCAGTGTGCACAGGTACTATATGGAGATATTGTTATAATCTAGATTGTGAATTTCTAATGAGTGTGACCTGGAGCCACGTGGGTTGCACTTTGAATAGCAGTTTCTAAACCAGCACTGTCCAATAAAGTAGCCACTAGATTACTGAGCACTTGAAATGTGACCAGCTGTGACTAAAAACAGAATTTTAAATTTACTTAATATTTTTAAACAGCTTTATTGAATATCATATAATTTTAATTATATTTAAGTAGCCATATCAATTGTGTATCTTTCTCATGTCATCTGTTAGGGACGGGTACCTCTTGCACTCTAATAACGTCACCACATTGTCTTTTCATGAGTGAGTACCCAAGAAATGTAGGTTGATTGCTCAGGGTCTAAGAGGAAAAATATACATGTTCTTGTACGTGAACGAGCGAGTGGGAAAATTGGAGGAACTTTGTGCTCCTCTCCCTAGGAAGGCAGAGGAGGGTAAACCTGGAGAGGGGAGAAAGAAAGGGGACTATTTACATCTCAGGAAAGAAGATGGGGTTAGCAACAATGGAGAAGTGACAGATAAGCAGCCAACTAGCCACACAATCCTTGGTAAACCAATCCTTGGTAATCTCTTTCAGTTTTGGTTTCTCTATCTCTAAAAGGAGAAGGTCAGATTCACTATCTCATCATTAGTGTCCATTCCAGCTCTGAGATTCTGTTCTCCTATATCCAATTACCTAATGCTGCAATTGCCACAGTACCAGAGCACCTTCGCTGGAACAAGGATCAGTGTGGCTTTAGCTCTCGTCTTTGTCCTGGTTTCACATCTAAGCTTTATTGTAAGTCACAAGAATTCTAAAAAAGTTATAAACTAAGGTAGGTTTCTGGCTTTAAATGTAAGACAAAATGGACAATCATTAAAGAAGATGTCAAGAACATATTGATTCCTTTAAACAGATGAAACAGTATAAAAATGTTCTTACCTGTAATCGTTTGGTTGCTTGTCCAAGAGATCGTTCCACAGCTTTAATACCGTTTTCCAGCCTCAGACTCTGCTGGCCTTGAATGTCAATTTCCCCTCTGACCTTACCAATCTTTCCTTTAACCTCTTCTTCATTGACTTGTGCCTCCTGGACTTCCCGTTGCAATTTTTCTGCTTCAAGACCGTTTTCCATAGTCTGGATCTGAGCCAAATAGCCCTTTAATTTGCTCTCACATTCTGTTATTTTCTGCCTTATTTCTTGAAGTTGATCCTTTAGCTGTTTTTCATTTTCCTGTTCAATTTGTAATTCATTTTCCCAAAATTCTTCCTCTTCAATTTCTACATCATTTCTTTTGATCTTTTGCTCCAGGCGGACAATTTCCTCTTCAAGGTTAGAATTGTATTTTTGCTCCCAAAATCGTATTTCTATTTCATTTGATTCTAGCTCTTTCTCAATGGATTGAAGCTTCTCTGTCTGTAAACGGATCAGCTTTTTTAACTCATCTGCTGTTGTTTTGCAGTTAGTCAGCACCTTTTGCTTAAATTCCGTTTCTTTACCTTTTCCAAAAATTTCCATTAATCCTTTGGCACCTCCTGTAAATGTCAATGATTTTCTTTTAGGTTCTCTCCTTTTGATTGACTTGTCAATCTGAGGCCTCAGTTTAGCCAAGGGGGGCAAACTTTGCCTGTATAAAGTTCTTTCAGGAATTCGAGCCACACTATCTGAAGTGGGTCGCTCACTGAGAGATGGCCCCGTTCGACGTAAAATAAGTTGCACATCACTAGCATACTGCCCCCATTTGTTTAAGGATATGATAGGATTTTCATGAGGTGCCAAATGTCTTTCAGTATCTCTCCATTTTTCTATTAGAGTGTACCTTCCAGTTCGACCTAGATTAAAAAAGATAAGAATAAACTTCAAAATGGGACATGCAATAGCTAAAATAATGAGAGGATGCTACTTGATAACTGTGTCTTCTTGATTAACATAAAGGTCCAGTCCATGCTGCCTTTGAAACTTTCACTTGAAGATACTGATCTACTTAAGATATGCAACAGCATAAAATTATAGGATGTGAACTGCATACTCTTCAGACTTACTTAGAAATTCAACTTAATACGTTCAACCTCAGTGAGAACCTTCCACTATTGTCAAACACCTGATTGCCTAGACCTTCCTGTTTGGGGCAACACCTTCAGCTGAAACAAAGGAGGACAATACCATGTGAGGGCCTGGCCCCCGGAACTAGGGAGGACTTCAGAACCTGATAAGCTTCCACTCTGTAAATCAGAGGCTTTCTTTTGCACATCAGGACTTGGGAAGGCTGGAGGCCCATTTCTCCACCTGAAGCGAGTGGAGAACCTGCTTTTCAGCTAATAAACAACTGGACAGGTCTTTCCTCTGTCTCCCCAGGAGGGCTTGGCAAACTGAGTTCACACAGCCGGTAACTTCCTGCACACCTGTGGCAAATTAAAAAATCACCTCAATGAAAACAACCCTTCCAAACAATTTCATATAAAAAGGGGCCTGAAGAGTAGTCTTGCTCAGTTTTGGTAATAGCTACGAAGATTCTTCTAAGAAATTTAAAAGGCAAAAGTGATATTAAAAAAAGAATAAAATCACATTTAAATAAAAAAAATATATACTGAACCTAACTAGTAATTAAAGAAGATCAAGTTTTAGAAGACAATATAATGAATGCCATTAGCTTGAACATACGTCCGAAATATTTCCACTTAAGGTGCGTAGGTCACATGGATTATATTAATTTTGTTAAAAAGTGTCATTTAGACACCTGAAACTAATATAAGGTTATATGTCAATTATATCTCAAAAAGAAGTGTCCATTAGTAGTTAATATTATTATTGGGTTGTTGGAAAAGTCATGATGCATTTTTGCAGCGAAAAACAGAAAAAAATACGTCATGACTTTTCCGACAGCCCAATATAAAGAAAAAAAAAAACTTACCCTGCCATCTAGCAATGATATTTGCATATACACTACTGATTTATCTTCCCTGCCTTCTTTTTTAATTTCATGAGCTTCTGAACCAATAGTATTATTTTTTCAATTTCTGTGTCATTAAATGGAGATGTGAATATGTAAATACAAACGCCCATGTAATTCAGAAAGCAAACAAAGAATGATATTGCTTTAAGCATATCATATGCAATGTTCGCCTTTAAGGAAATCTGAATCTTGGGCAAAGCTGAAAAGTTGAAGCTTTGGAGGCAAACTGACTGAAGTTTTAATCCCAGGTAAGTTACTTACTGGAAGTAGTATAACTTCATTTCTAAAATGGGGATAGTAGCAATACCTCACAGGTTATGCGAGTCAGAGTCAGGTGTAGTAAGTACCTACCACAATACCGTGGCTCACAGCAGGTATTCAGGATATGGTAGCCATTATTAATTTAAGACATTGTTATTCACATAACAAAAGGCTGACCAAAGACCTCCTTTAAATAGTGATGTGACATGACAATAAACTGACTTAAAAAACAAAAAACAAAAACCCTTAAGCAACTTTCAGCAACTCCCAACCATGTAAAGCTGGACAGAGTAGAAAGAACATAAGCTCTGGAGTTGGCATAGGGAATATAGTCGATGAAACTGTAATACCTATATATGATGTCAGAAGGGTAACAGATTGGAGGAGGGGGGTTATCACTTTGTGAGGGGTGTAAATGTCTAACTATTACATTGTTTTGTACACCTGAAACTAAAAAAAAAAGCCAAAGCTCTGGAGTCGGAAGGCCTGTGTTCAGATTTGCCTCTGCCATCTACTTACACAATTTGCATAAATTGTTAAATTTCCTTTAGCTTCAGTTTCCTCATCTATAGGGTGAGAGTATTTTCTTACCTGACAATGTTGTAAGAGTCAAGTGAGATGAAAAATATAAAGATGTTTTTTAAAATTGAAAAGTGCTATACAAATATTAGGTGTTATTATCAAAATACCTAGGCAAACAAAGAGAATGAGAAAGAAAGCCTTAGCACATTAGACTGGCTTCTTGGAATCTAATTAGTTTCTAATGATTTTCAGGTTAAAAATTACTGTAATCGCCCCAAGAAAAACCACATGACAAATCTGCTTCAAAGATCAAGCACTTAATGTCCTTGGCTCTGCTGCTTTTCAACCACTTTTAGGATCTCACTGCTGCTACCTGGATCTCTGTGTCCTCATCATAACATGAGGGGTTAGACTAGATTAGTAGAGCCTTCTCTAATGCCATCGGGCCAAAGAAGCATCTTTTAACAAGAAAACTGCATCATTATATTATACAAGCTAAATTAAAAAGTGTAAAGGCCCTAATTTAGATATAATTAAATATAAAGCTGATTTTTCCAGTACTGCTACCCTCTGAGAATGTCTTGGTAGAAGAATATTTAGAATTGCTTTTACTGCCAGTTTTCCCTTTTTGTTAAGTAATGCACATTTAGTGCAATTAGGCAAAAAGAAAAAAAAAATCCATCCAGCAATATAAAAAAGCCTTTTTTATTTTATTTTTTTTATTAGTTTCAGGTGTACAAAAACAACATAATGATTAGACATTTATGCCCCTTACAAAGTGACAACCCCAACAAGTCAATTACCCATCTGACACTGTACATAGTTATTACAATGCCATTGACTATATTCCCTATGCTGTACTTCACATCCTGTGACTATACACACACACACACACACACACACACACACACACACACACACACACACACACATTTAATTACAGTTGACATTCAATATTATTTTATGTTAGTTTCAGGTGTACAGCACAGTGCTTAGTCATTTATATAATCTATGAAGTGATCCCCTTGATAAGTTCAGTACCCACCTGTCACCCTACATAGTCTTTACAACATTATTGATTATATTCCCTATACTGTATTTCACATCCCCAGGACTATTTTGTGACTACCAATTTGTACTTTCTAATCCCTTTCTTTCTCACCTATCCCCCAATCCCCCTTCCATCTAGCAACCATCAGTTTGTTCTCTGTATCTATTAGTCTATTTATGTTTTGTTTTGCTGATTTATTCTGTTCTTTAGATTACACATATAAGTGAGATCATATGGTATTTGTCTTTCTCGGTCTGACTTATTTCACTTAGCATAATACCATCTAGGTAAACCCATGTTGTTGCAAATGGTAAGATATCATTTTTATGATTGAGTAATACTCCACTGTGTATATATACCACAATTTCTTTAACCAGTGGTCTATTGATGGGCATTTCGGTTGTTTCCATATCTTGGCTATTGTGAATAGCGCTGCAATAAACATAGGGGTGCATACATTTTTTCGAATTAGTGTTTTGAATTTCTTTGGATAAATACCCAGGGGTGGAACTGCTGGATCATAAGGTAGTTCTATTTTTAAGTTTTTGAGGAAACTCCATACTGTTTCCCATAGTGGCTACACCAATTTGCAATTCTACCAACAGTGCACAAAGGTTCTCTTTTCTCCACATCCTCGCCAGCACTTGTTGTTTGTTGATTTATTGATGATAGTCATTCTGACCAGGGTAAGCTGGTATGTCATTGTGGTTTTATTTGCATTTCTCTGATGATTAGTGATGTTGAGCATCTTTTCATATGTCTGTGAGCCATCTGTATATCCTCTTTGGATAAATGTCTATTCAGGTCCTCTGCCCATTTTTTAATTGGATTGTTTGTTTTTTTTTGGTGTTGAGTTGTATGAGTTTTTTTTTTTAATAAATTTTGGATATTAACCCCTTATTAGCTATGTCATTGGCAAATATCTTTTTCCATTCAGTAGGATGTCTTTTTTTGTTGATGGTTTTCTTTGCTGTGCAAAACCTTTTTAATTTTATGTAGTCACATTTGTTTATTTTTTCTTTTGTTTCCCTTGCCTGAGGAGATATATCAGTATTACTAAGGGTAATGTCTGAGAGTTTACTTCCTATATTTTCTTCTAGGAGTTTTATGGTTTCGGGTCTTAAGTTTTTAATCCATTTTGAGTTTATTCTTGTATATGGCATAAACGGTGGTCCAGTTTCAGTTTTTTGCATGTATCAGTCCAGTTTTCCCAGCAACATTTATTAAATAGACTGTCGTTACCCCAATGTTAATTCTTGCTTCCTTTGTCACAAATTAAATGACCATATATGGGCGGATTTAATTCTGGGCTCTCTATTCTGTCCCATTGATTTATGTGTCTGTTTTTTTGCCAGTACTATGCTGCTTTGACTGCCCTGGCCTTGTAGTATAATCCTGATATTAGGTAGAGTGATACCTCCAGCTTTGTTGTTATTTCTCTGGATTGCTGTGGCTATTTGGGGTCTTTAATGGTTCCTATAAATTTTAGTATTATTTGTTCTAGTTCTATGAAAAATACCATTAATATTTTGATAGGAATTGCACTGAATCTATATATTGCTTTGGGTAGTATGGACATTTTAACTATATTGATTTTTCCTATCCATGAGCAAGGTATATGTTTCCATTTATTTGTATCTTCTTTAATTTCTCTCTTCAATATCTTATAATTTTCTGAGTACAGGTCTTATACTTCCTTGATTAAATTTATTCCTATTTTATTTTATTTTTTGATGCAATTGTAAATGGGATTTTCTTAATTTCTCTTTCTGATAGTTGGTTATTGGTATGTAAAAATGCAATTGATTTCTCAATATTAATTTTGTATCCTGCTACTTTACTAAATTCACTTATCAGTTCTAATAGTTTGTTGGTAAAATCTTTGGGTTTCTCTCTATATAGTATCATGTCATCTGCAAATAATGACAATTTTATGTCTTCCTTTCCCATTTAGATGCCTTTTATTTCTTTCTCCAGTTTGGCTCCTGTGGCTAGAACTTCCAGTACTGTATTGAAAAAAAGTTGTGAAAATGGGCATCCCTGTA